CTATCAGCCATCAGTCTATCGGCTCCTAGCAGGCTATCAGATCCACAGATCTATCAGCTCCTAGCAGATCTATCAGCTCCTAGCAGATCTATCAGCTCCTAGCAGATCTATCAGCTCCTAGCAGATCTATCAGCTCCTAGCAGATCTATCAGCTCCTAGCAGATCTATCAGCTCCTAGCAGATCTATCAGCTCCTAGCAGATCTATCAGCTCCTAGCAGATCTATCAGACCACAGATCTATCAGACCACAGATCTATCAGACCACAGATCTATCAGATCCATCAGAACTATCAGATCCACAGAACATCAGATCCATCAGAACTATCAGACCACAGAACATCAGCCAAGATCAGACACGCATCAGAACTATCAGATCCATCAGAACTATCAGATCCATCAGAACTATCAGATCCATCAGAACTATTAGATCCATCAGAACTATTAGATCCATCAGAACTATTAGATCAAAACCTAGCAGACCTATCAGCTTCAATTCTTGCCCAGAAATCTTATTCTCATTGTTGCATAGTATCATACTTACTACAGTACTCTTGCTACTTACTACATAGTACTTATTACATAGTACTTACTACATAGTACTTACTACACTACTACTCACTACATAGTACTATTGGAAATGTTTAAAACTAATCTAGTTATCACCTTCCTTAAAGATTTGATGTTTGAATTCAATTCTAGGTTTAAAGATTTAAAGAATTAAAGATTTAAAGAATTAATCTTATTCTGATGAATCATGGACATGAAATGTCTCAAATTTTAGACTAACAATTAGAAACGGTTTCTAATTCTAAAATGATCCTTTAACATAATCAAAGACTTCAATAACTTTATGATTTTCTTTCTTCTTCACAACTACTATTTAACCACTGAAATTTGGAGCACAATTTGGAGAACACAACTTTGAATGGGAAAGAGGTGAGGGATGACCACGCAGTGACCATTACGACAACGGGAAAAGATGAAGAGAGGAGAGAACCGGAGAACCCACAAAAGTCACTCCTCTTTCTCTTTCGAAATGTGTTGTAAGACACGCCTTTTGTCCAGTCCAGAGAGCCCAAAGAGTCCCAGAGTAATGGAGAAAGTGAATGGGAATTGAGCTATGAGTTTCGGCTTTGGAGTTTCCCATTGCATTCCTTTAAATTTATTAGTAATCAGGACAAGAGGCAGGGCAGAGTTGTACTAAAAGCAATCATGAATTTGAGTGAGCAAAGCAACATGAAAAAAAGCAAAGCATCATGAAAAAAAGCAAAGCATCATCAAAATTTAACACTTTTTCCAAAACCAGTTTCCCCGAGCCAGGCCTGATTTGGCTTTACTGAAAACCTGGGCAGAAAGTACCTGGGCCGGAAGTACCTTGGCCAACCATATACTTCTGGCTTTTGGCCTAGCCAGGCCTTGATTGATTTGGCTTAGTTTATAGGTCCAAGGCTCAGACTCAGGCTTAGGCGTCTCACGGCAATTCACCTATGATGATTTGGAAGAGGTCAGGTGTTCGAGATTCTTAAGTAAAAGGCCTAAGCCTAAGCCTAAGCCTGAGCCTAAGCCTAAGCCTGAGTCTAAGCCTGAGTCTAAGCCTAAGCCTAAGCCTAAGCCTTTAGAACGATTATCGAACATTTGATACGCCCCTTTTGCCATTGGCAATCTTCGAACTCAAAGATCTTGGTCTTGGGCTGTTCAATTTCCATATTCTTGATATCATTAGATGCGGCAAGTCTTTCTCTATCGATTGGTACAAAAACTATTTAAATTGAGAACCAACACTGAGATATTGGAGCTTAAAGTTAGCTTAGCAAAAGGGGCGGAGCCAAAAAGACCTTTTATACGCACCCCGCTTCTTTTGCCATTGGTAATCTAGCTTTGAGCTTAAAGATCTTGGTGTTAGGCCGTCCAATTTAAAGATTCTGAGTATTTGATACGTGCTCCGCCCCTTTGCCATTGGCAATCTAACTTTGAGCTCAAATATCTTGGTGTTGAGCCGTCCAATTGAAATAGTTTGTGTACCAATCGACAGAAAAAGACTTGGCGAATCTAATGATACCAAGAATATTAAAATTTGACAGCCCAGCACCGATATATTTAAGCTCAAAGTTAGATTGCCAATGGCAAAGGGGCGGGACGACAATCAAATCTTCCACAATCCTTAAACTCCCATTGTTTTCACAAGAGTTTCTTGCAAGATCGATTCCCAGAAGCTCTCAAATTCTAGCATCTCTTTCTTTCTTCAGAAAGCTAATAAGCCAACTTTTTTGTAAAATATCATCCATGTTTTGCCTGCCTTTTGATCCAACATTTAAAGTGAGAGAGAGCACGCAATGTGTGCACGGCGTTCCCCAATCCCTTTCCCCCTTTCCCTCTTCGCATTTATGAAGTCAAAGTGCTGTAAAACACGCGTTGTGGGCAACTCTCTAAGCCAATCACTCAATGGCTGTGAAATTCTAGACAAAAATCCTGTTAAAACTCGAAATCGTTTACAGGATGGTTCACACTAGGCTCACACTAGGCTCACAATTCTAGTGCCGCACTTCAGAGAGCCTAGATTGATCAAAATTGGGTGAATCATTGTCATTTTTGTTGGAGATAAATCAAAATTGGGGAATGTCTCCTGAAATCGTGCCTATTATCTAATCAATTCAAGATTTCAACTTTTTTATATAGCTTTTCAAAGTTGAGAGCCGGAAAGGCTAGCATTAGTCTAGCATATTGTAATTGTAGTGATTATTGATGGTTTAGATATAATCTTTATTACAGTAATAATCGTTGGTTGTGGTTTGAGATTGGGAGAGTAGAGACAGTAGAGAGTAGAGACACTCCACGGCACACCTCGGCGGTTCGTTCACATTGCTTTTATACGGAACTCAGGCGTTGAACTCGTCTTGCACACAATGGAGTTGAACGGATAGCTCGCAAAATCGTGCACATCTAAATCACATCTAATCACATCAATCTCGCACAATAGGCGTTCGTCCACATAGGTGCCTAGCTGGCCATTTCCCTACGTGCTGGCCATTTCCCTGTGATCACGATCACAAGATCGTCACGACAGTAATCTTTCTTTCAATTCTTCTCCGGTTTTCTTATCTGAGAGATGAGATCTCTATTAGATGAGAGATTAAACTATGAATTAAATGGAATCAAACTTACCGTAACACGGAGAAAATCTGTAGGTAATTATGGAGAAAATCTGTAGATAATGACGGTAGCTTTCCGTTTACAAAAATACATTACCCCATCAGAGCCAATTCGTTGTTTACTCTCCAAAAACAAGTCACGTTGCCGTTCCACGGTTTTTCAAAGGTCATCTCAACTAGTTCGTTGCTTAGAAAAACGTGTTCTTTGTTTGTTTATTGTGTTTGTTCATTGTGTTTGGGGTTTATTTGTCGAAACCTTTTGTCCATTTCATCCATTTCATCCATTTCGTCAGAATCGGAGTCTATTCCTGTCTCCGAATTCCCTTTTCGATGTCTCGCGTGCCTCTCTTTCTCTCTATTTCTATAGAATTCATTCCAGAGTCTGAAAAAGAGAAAAGAGAAGAAAAGAGAAGAAGAAGAAGAAGAAGAAGAAGAAGAAGAAAAGAAGAGGAAGAAGAAGAAGAAGAAGAAGAAGAAGAAGAAGAGGAAGAAGAGGAAGAAGAAGAAGAAGAAGAAGAAGAAGAAGAAGTGAACTGTAGAGAGCGAAAAGAGCGATTTTCCATGAACGCAAAGAGAAGGAAAGGTGCAAAGAATTGAACGTCACGAAATGCAAATTTTCCGAGCGTTTGAGATTGAAACCACAGAGAGCTATGGCTTTGAAAGTGGTGTTTGAAAGAAGAATGAAAGGAAATGATTCGAATTCTTTAAAGTTATTGCTATAAAGCTATGAAAGGCATTGAAAAGGCATTGAAAAACAAAAACACTATCGAAAGGCTGAAACAAATGAAGAAAAGCTGACTCAAACACTTTTTACTGATTTTTAACGATGAAAAATGTTCTTAATCCAGTTATATCCTTGTAATTGCTCAACAAAACAACGAAAACTTTCCACTACAAAGTTCTAACTTATTATTAGATTTATTTAGAGTTAGTTTACTATCTAGTTTATTATCTAGTTTATTATCTAGTTTACTATCTAGTTTATTATCTAGTTTACTATCTAGTTTACTATCTAGTTTACTATCTATTAGGTTGTTCGGATATAAACGAGCTTTTGCACTGCTTAACTCGTGAGGAAGCCATTTCCCGCATCAGATCGTCTTTCCAATGGCGTCTAGATGCTCATCAATAGTAGAATTTGAAGATAGAAACTGTTGAGAAAGTAGCAAGCAAGTTCACGCGCCGTTTGACATCGATCCGATTCGATTGCAGCCCTCAAAGTATCGTTGTCTAGCGCTTGAGGTCGACGAGAGTGTTCATCATCTTGAATTATGATCCTCGAGACTTTCAGCACCATTCCAAAAGCGTTAGAGCCAGACTCAGCATCGGCTTTCGGACAAAACATCATTCCCAAATGCTTTGACCAAATCTCAATGAGATTCCGTTACTGTTTTGTAGAGGAATCCCAGTTTGAAGTCGTAAAGTAGGCAGACGCGAACTTGATTTGAAGTTTGAAGTATTTCAAGTCGATCATCTAAAGCAAGAAAAAAAGATCTTAAAAATAAGAAATTATCCGTTTAAAAAGTTTCCAAATATGCACAAGATAACGGGCTTTTTAAATAAAGAAAGACATGTTTTAAAACTTTTAAAAGCTTCTCTCACAACAATAAGTTTAGCAGCGCTTGTTTATATCCGAACAACTTAATAGTTTACTATCTAGAGCCTGTCTAGAACCTGAAAACAGTCTACCTAGTGTTTATAAACCAACCAATGTTTATAAACCAATAAATGCCAATTTTTTTTAACTATCTAGCCATTTACTGTAGAATTAAATTAGAAAAATATCAAATTAGAAAAATAGCCAAAAAAACATGTAAATTTCAGGTGAAATGCGGTCCCCTTCGAGCAAAGATGCACATTGAATTGTTTCTTTGCCCAGGCATTCATCAACCATGCATCGAATTGAATGGAGAAATGGTTAGCCCAAAAGAATTCACCGTTCGCGCTAACAAAGATAAGCAAAAAGATTGGAAAGGAAGCATTCGGATAGGGAAAAGTAATTTGAGGTGAGTCATTGAAAAGGGAGAAATCGAATAATCGAGAAATCGAGAAATCGAGAAATCGAGAAATCAAGAAATCTCTTTTCAGAACCCTTATGGAACTGAGAACATTCGACTTTTTTAATCACTCACATTATTGTTCGGCGAAATGTCAGAGTCGAAATTATATTACACCGAAGAGTGAACGGGTCAATCACGAGGGAAATGAACGGGAATTTCGGTGAGTGACGAGGGGGAAATTCAGAAATTCATCGGAAATTCATCGGAAAATTCATTTGGTTGAGGAAAAAGTTATGTCGGCTTTTGTCAATCAATGAGATATTCTCAATTATTATTGATGATTGATTATTGATTATTGATGATTGATGATTGATGATTGACTATTGATTATTGATTATTGATTATTGATTATTGATTATTGATTATTGATTATTGATGATTGATGATTGATCATGATGATTGACTATTGATTCTTGATTATTGATGATTGATGATTGATGATTGATGATTGATCTCAATTATATTGTTGATCTCAATTATATTGTTCCCATCTTTGTCGCAAATCCCTGATCACATCCTCAAAAAAAAATGGGGCAGAAGGTAAGCAGAAGATTTCCGAGCCAAAATAAGTGTCGACTGCTTTTTTTTGATCTGTGCATGATTCTCGAAGGGGAAATTCATCGGAAAATTCATTTGGTAGCAAATTTGAAAAAAAAATAAGCATAAGCAAAGAACTAGAAAACCAACCAGCCAACAACGGGACTTCAAAATCGACATTACTTTTTCCTCAACCCAATAATAGTCTAATAGTCTCTCATTTTCTCTCATAAATCTCTCATTTTCAGCAGAAGCAGTATTAAATCCCTTGATCACTTTATCGGTATTCATCCACCACAAACGCCCACGAATTTCGGTGAGTTTTTTTTTTTAATATTTTGAGATAATTCTATGAGAAAAGTTCAGTGGTGCCAACCACCACTGAACTTTGAAGTATGATAAAAGAAAGCGTAACACTGTGTTTCTGAAGTGAAAATTGAAATTGAGCGCAGAAATTAACATGAAATTTCATAGAAGTATGAAATTTTGTGAATTGAATGATTGGGCGTCGAGTTACGAGTTCGAAAAGCCGACTCTCCATCATTGTACACCACTCTGTAGTATATAGATATGTACATAGATATGTACATAGACTATGTACATAGATAAAGTACATAGTCTTCTTTTTCGATTCAGTCCATAATCGAGCTTTTTCTATTTCTCTTAATTAAGTCTTACTGATTAGTTACTTGTTTACTGTTTACTGTTTACTGTAATCCATGATTTATACTGACTATGATAAGCCAGGATTAAAGAGAGAGAAAGAAAGGAGAGAAAGAAAGGAGAGAAAGAAAGGAGAGAAAGAAAGGAGAGAAAGAAAGGAGAGAAAGAAAGGAAAGAAAGAAAACGAGAGACACAGTAAGCCGAGTTTATCCTGACTACAGTAATCCAGAATTGATCTAGAATACAGTAAACCAAGATTTATCTGGACTAAGATAGCTAAGAAGTAAGCTAAGATAAAAAGCAGCTATTATTCCTTTCCTTCTTCTTCCTTCTTCTTCCTTCTTCTTCCTTCTTCTTCCTTCTTCTTCCTTCTTCTTCCTTCTTCTTCCTTCTTCCTCTTGGATAAAGAAAGCACCGATAGCTCAGTGATAGAGCATCTTCCCGGTAAGCAGAAGGTCAAGGGTTTGATTCCCGATTCCAAATTCTTTTCCAAATTCTTTTTCATCTATTTCTTTACCTAAACCTCTTTAATTGTAACTGAAAACTTGAAATTTCGAATTTCCTTTCAGCTTTAATCAAACCGGATCCCGAATCTCTATCGCATTTGGTTCAAATGTCAACCGTTTTGAATAACAACAACGGATTACCGCCAATGATCATCCACAATCACAATGAAACTCTATTGGAGCCAAGATTGCCGACTGTAAGTATACGATATTGAGATGAAATCTGAAGACTCTGCTTTAGAATGAGGAGATTTTACATCGATTACCGCCAACACCAGACAATGTGGGCCGGATCATGCATTCTGGTGAGTTGAGAGTAAGAATTCCGAAAGAGAAAGGTAGAGTAAGAATCCCGAGAAATTGCTCAGTGATTTACAATTAGAATTCGATCACTTTTCGATTCAGAAATTGAAAAATATTCAGATGCGACAACGTTTTGGTCACAAATGCAACAAGTGGGCCTGCTCGATGACATTGTTGACACGATGTTGGCCGAGGTGGACACAGTGAGGAATGAGACGCGAGTCCACAATATTACTCCAAGAGGTCAGTTGAATGATTCGATCGAAATCGCAAAAATCTTCAACTTCAACTCTTTCAGTTTGTGGCACTCTGTCAAGGCTGTGTTCTGCTCTCGATCTAACAGCAAATGTGGCAGCAAGACTCCGATCGAGACATACACCGATAAATGCTAATGTATTACCGCCACCAGGTGAGTTACGATAGCTGGTTACGATAGAAGTTTACGGTAGCTAGTTACAGTAGCCGACTACGGTAGCTGATTACGGTAGTTGATTGCGGTACCTGACTACGGTAGCTGATTACGGTATCTGATTACAGTAGCTAGTTACAGTAGCCGCCTACGGGAGCTGATTACGGTATCTGATTACGGTAGCTAGTTACAGTAGCCGCCTACGGGAGCTGATTACGGTATCTGATTACGGTACCTGGCTACGGTAGCTAGTTACGGTAGCTAGTTACAGTAGTCGACTACGGTAGCTGATTACGGTAGTTGATTACGGTAGCCGACCACGGTAGCTGATTACGGTAGCTAGTTACGGTAGCTAGTTACAGTAGCCGACTACGGGAGCTGATTACGGTAGCTAGTTACAGTAGCCGACTACGGGAGCTAGTTACGGTACCTGGCTACGGTGGCTAGTTACGGTATCTGATTACGGTAGCTAGTTACGGTAGCTAGTTAACTGGTAACTGGTAACGGTAGCTTATTCAGAAATCACGCATATTGGTGAGCGGAAACGAAGTCTTGATGAAGGGCTCATGGTGAGGCCGTTGGCTAATCAAATGATACCTGAACTGAAACGACCAAGAACACACTATCCACCCGTCATTCAATCACCATTGATTGAGGCTTTGCTGAAGGTGGGTTGCAAATGGGAAAAGTTATCAAAGATCTTCAGATATTAAGCTAGGATCTAGGTTTTTAAGATCTCAAGCCAAAAATAAAATACTATAAGAGTGTGCTAGTGCAAAAGACTGCAAAAGATTCAGTCCTGTTGACTGAACACTTTTACTATAGTACTGTAAGTGCTTACAGTAAGTACAGTATAGCAAGTACAGTACAGTAAGTACAGTATAGCAAGTACAGTACAGTACAGTAAGTACAGTATAGCAAGTACAGTACAGTACAGTAAGTACAATACAGTACAGTGCCACAAGCAAGCCATCGTCTACTGTAAGAAAGGAAACTGAGTAGTACGCCAGTTGAAGGGCCACTTTTTTCTTCAAAATCACTTTTTCTATGGTAGTTTTGTGCGCAGATTCCGAAAAACACAACGAGAACTTGGGGAAATGCGTTTTAAGCCGAGTTTCGGGGCTTCAAAGTGCCCATACAGTGTAACGAGAGGGATACACATAAAGAAAAGGTCTAAAAATGGTCTCTTAAAACATTTATTGAAGTCAAAAACTGTTCTTCTGGCATAATTTAATCTACTGATTACGTTCCTGATCAAATTGGAGCAAAATAAAAAAAATATTTTCAAATTTCGACCATGTGGTCCCCTACATGAGTCAAAATCTCAAAAAATATTTTTTTCAATTCTTTTTGGTTCTACCAGTCAATTTAAGTTAGAAAATGAAATTTAGTGGTGAAAAATTGTTTTGGCTCTAGTTTTGACCTTGAAAAATGGCCAAATAGTCGATAGCTTGGGCTTCAGATAGTGAAGTACACTATAGAAGCCATTGAAGCCCCGAAACTCGGTTTAAAACGTCTTTTCCTAAACTCTCGTTGTGTTTTTCGGAATCTGCGCCTAAAACTACCTTAGAAAAAGTGGTTTTGAAGAAAAAAATGGCCCCTCAACTGGCGTAGTACCGAAAACTGAAATTATAAGAACAGGAGCTAGATCTAGAGAAGCACAAGATCTAGATCTAGAATAAGAACAAGATCTGGATCTAGAGTAAGAACAGGAGCTAGATCTAGAGTAAGAACAAGATCTAGATCTAGAGTAAGAACAAGATCTGGATCTAGAGTAAGCACAAGATCTAGATCTAGAGCAAGAACAAGAGCTAGAGCTCCTAGTCAAATAAAAACACATTTTCTGAATCCCAGAAATTCAGGTTCAAACCACCTATCAACTCCACCAAACCCCCTTCGCCAATATGGACCTTTTGCTGAAGTTCGCCTCTCAACCACCGCAATTGAACATCGGCGGCGACGCTGGATCGGCTGGACTTCCGCAGAGCACCACAATCGGTTTCCCCAATCCCAGCGCTCTCCCCACTGGCCTTGCGCAATTGCCCACGACACTCACCGCGACGATAAATCACTCACAAATTCGTCACCCAATTGCCCAACCGGGTCTCCCAACCGCCACAATACCCTCTCAGCCAGCCGCCACGGCTACCCCAATTGCCGATACTTTGCTAAAAATACAGTAAACGGAAATTTTGATAAGCCAAAGATAAAGAAAGATAAGCCATCACTGTACTCTCCAATAAATAAATATTCCCAATAAATATTCTCCAAAAAATTCTCCAAAAAAATTCTCCAAAAAAAATTTCTCATTTGTGTAGATATTCTTTTGCAAAAGTGCCTTTTTCATTTTTTTCATTTCTCGAAATTTCCCTTTGTTGCCGTTGATACCTCAGAATTTCCGCTGAAATTTCCTAGTTCTAAACAAACTAGTCAGTCATAGTGTGTTGAGCTTTTGAAAATGTCACGAATAAAGCTTTACTTTTAGCATTTACACTTTGTCTTTCACATTTTCCTGTCTTTCACATTGTCTTTCAAAGTTTCTCTCTGATCTTCCGTTTCCCATATTTCGCGGGGTGTTTTTTTTTGTTTGTTTTTTTCTTTTTCTGCAAATCAATCAAAATACTTTTAATGTTTCTTTTTTGCAAAATTGCTAGAGCTTCGACGATTTTCTAGTGTTCACTTATAGAATTTTCTGTGTATTTCGAGTTTTTTCTCTCAATTGGTCTGCATAAAGCTTTGAATTTTTGGTTTAGAACATTGTAAAGTTGTTTTAGAATATTGTAAAGCTGGTTTTAAAGCATTGCAAAGTTGTTTAAAGCATTTTAAAGCTGTTTAAAGCATTGCAAAGTTGTTTTAAAGCATTTTAAAGTTGTTTTAGAACATTTTAAAGTTGGTTTTAAAGCATTGTAAAGTTATTTTAGAACATTGCAAAGCTGTTTTAGAACATTAAAGTTATTTTAGAACATTGCAAAGTTGGTTTAGAATATTGTAAAGTTGTTTTAGAAAATGCAAAGTTGTTTTAGAACATTTTAAAGCATTGTAAAGCTGTTTAAAGCATTTTAAAGTTGTTTTAAAACATTGTAAAGTTGGTTTTAAAAAGTATTGTAAAGTTTTGAAGTTTTTGAAACGCAGAGCGAAAAAAAGGAACAAGAGCCAAATTTGCATTTAAGTATATGTTGTGTCCGATTTAGATTTCCGTCCGATTTAGATTGAACTTATCGCGGACGTCCGATTTAGATTACAGTCTATATCGGACGTCCGATTTAGATTCAATCTAAATCTTATATAGATTGAACAATAATATAAACATGCTTAATATATGTTCTTAAGCGTTTTCTGTAGTTTTCTGCATTTTTCAAAGGTCTTTTATTGATTACAGTCTATATCGGACGTCCGATACAGATCGAACAATAATAAACGTGCTTAATATATGTTCTCGGTTGTCTGTGAACGTTTTTAGACAAGCTATCAAACACATCTATATAAGACGTATTATTGTTCAATCTATATAAGATTTAGATTGAATCTAAATAGGACGTCCGATATAGACTGTAATCTAAATCGGACGTCCGCGATAAGTTCAATCTAAATTGGACGTCCGATTTAGATTGAATCTAAATCGGACGGAAATCTAAATCGGACACAACATATACATTGCGAAAGTTCTGCGCACCAAAAAATCCCGCTTGACTTTTTATTAGAGGAGATTTCAGGGCATCTTTTCATACAAAAAGCATCAAAATCGGTCAAGAAGGAAAGAAAATTTCTTTAATCTCCCCAATCTCCCCAAAATGGCCGAACACAGCACTTCTATTTCGACTATTTGGGGTTATTGTAGCCAGAAACTAAAAACAGACTCGGATTCTGAGGTGCTAGCAAAAGCGGCAAACTATTTGCGCTGCGTATCAGTTGCGCCAAAATTTGGTCGATTTCTTGACCAACTTGCGGCTTGTTTTTAAGCACCTTAAACTTGTCCGATCGGAGAGTTTGAATAATATTTAGATAGCACATCAGCTTTCAGCAACTATTTGTTTCATTCAAAAGTTAGCAACAAAAACCTATCTAAAATCGGGTTGCAAGTTGGTCAAAAACTCGACCCCCGATAACCGTAAAGGTCCGTGATTTGTTACAGTGATTTTCATAAGCGTAAATTTGGCGCAAAAATTTTTGGCGCAACGGATTTTGGCGCAAAAAGCGCGGCGCTTTTGATATCACCCCCAAATTCCTCACCTTCGAAAACTCCTGTATGCAAAATTTCAGCCTAATCTGTCCATAAGTTATGCCAATTTTAAGTGAGACCCACCGGTGGGTCTCACTGGGTTGCCGCGAATGTGTTAAGAACCAAAATCTTTTCATCACTTATTTCTTTTATTTTAGCTTATATGGGCTCTTGGAATGGGCTTGCCGTTGGAACGACCAAAGTCGCACTCAACGAAAGGATTAAAGAAATTTGCTGCTGCTGCCGCCTAGGAAAGTCTAGATTGAAAATAACTAAATTTCTTCGCCCTCGAAGTTCTTTTTAGTTATTGTTTGATTCGCTGAAGATTTCTTATGCTAGTGAATTTTTCTCTTGAGTTTATTTTGTATCGTTCTTCGGGGGTGGGACAAATGCGACCTCCTTTTTTTGCTGGAAAAGGCCTTAGGCAAGGCCGTAGAGCTTCGAAAATATTTCCATGTAAGGGAGTCGTACGCGTAGATTCCGAATTTCGACAAATCAGACCTCGCTGACACGTCAAATTTGGGCTAAAAGGCAAAAACTGCGGAAAAGCGTCAAGTTGCGTAGTTTTTGCCTTTTAGCCCAAATTTGACGTGTCAGCGAGGTCTGATTTGTCGAAATTCGGAATCTACGCATACGATTCCCTTCTATGAAAACATTTTTGAAGCTCTACGACCTTTCATAAGGCCTTTTCCAGCAAAAAAAAGGTCGCATTTGTGCCACCCCCCGTTCTTCTTCTTTCTATTTCCAAATTTCTATATTTCCCTCAATTTTCTTTGCATTTCTGTGGTATAAATTTCCCGAAGCTAATCAATTTATTGTACACATTCATTTTGGAGAATTGACGTTTCAAAGAAAAGCCAAATACCTATTCGAAAAGCAATTTTTGCGGAGATGAAAAGTGCGAGAATAATATGGACAACAAACTACAATTTTTGCCGAACTAAAAAGTGGCCTAATCTTTGCTTACGAGAGTAAAATCGAAATGATATTGTTTCAACTATTGTATTGTATCTGATATTATAAGCTATTAATTATTTTTTTTTCTCATGATGTCTCTTTACGACTTCTTCACCCCGGTCAGCCAATTATACGATGAAGAGCCGGAATATTTGAGGCCACAATATTCCGCGTCACCGAATTCAGCAACGAATGCGAGGTACGCAAATTTTATATACTTTACTCGTAAAGGTTAAGTAAACTAATAATTACTGGCAAAAGGATTGTATAAAAGTATTGTAAAAGTGTATTGTGTTGTTGAAATTTACCAGTTTCACATTGTTTTACCAGTATTGCTCTTTAAAATTGCTTTAATAGCCTACTTACCAGTTTTACCTTATTTTACCAGTATTGCTCTTTAATATTTCTTAACACTTTTGTTTTAGTTCGACCGAAAATCAAGAATTTCGAGAGAGAATTGGAGCTGAAAACATTGTATGTTTTTGTCTAGTGTAAATAGAAGGTTTTTAAGTTAGGTTGGTTTCTTGGATGAGGCGACGATGCGACAATATAAGGAGACAACCCGATATGAAGTCTTGGAACAAACCGGCACTGCGCATGTATGTTGAATAGATCTTTGATTATTAATTTCTTGTTTAGAATCCAATTTTTACAATCAGATGCGGCGCCGTAGGATACCGAGAAGAAGGAGTTGGACCAAATAAACGTGTCGCGAAAATCAAAGCGGTTCGAGAAGTGTTGAAGAAAATCGTTGAAAATGATGACCACGAGAAGTTTTTGATTCCCGGAGAAACGAAAGAAGAACGAATGGACTTTATGTGAGAATGAAATCTTGGATATATTAGTATTTTTAGCGAAAATTTGACGGACAAATCTCTGGTAATGTCAAGCGCTCAAATAACAATCAATGAAAACTACGTGGGAGCTCTACAAGAATTGTAAGTTTATTGGGATAAGGTGCAGAATGTAATGTGTTTGATAAATTTAATTTAATTCATCAATTTTACGATTTAGATGCATGAAAAACAAAGTCAACGTGCCCGTCTACGATTTTGAAGAATTTGATGCGGACAAGGAGAAAATTTTCAAAGTTACGTGCAAGGTATTGTTTGTTTTTTGAATCTTTTAAAGTTTATATTTTCAGATCAAAGGTTTCGATTATTGCGCACAAGACCGAACAAAAAAGAAGGCCAAAAATGAGGCGGCCAGACAAATGTTGGAAACTCTAAAAGAGGTAAATGTTTTTTCAACATTTCAACAACTTAAAGGTGAATATTATTAGACTATCAAAGAAATGGAAAACGATTTGCATATCGACGGTAGCGATGACCAGGAAAACGGAGAACCATTGGAGGATCAACAAGCAAAAGATGTTTGGTACCATGACGCTTAAATAAACAACGATAATTTTAGGAATCAGCGTGCGAAAACTTGGAGCAATTGTTAGAGGAGCTCAAAGCATCATGGATTGTATCTCACGAGTATAAAAACCCGAATGCTACTTCATCGAAAGGTTGTTTTCTTGTTTAAAAAATAATTTGAATCTTTTTAGATTCCAAAACAGTTCTTCTCAAAATTTCGATCAAGAAGAATGAGCGAGAGATGGGAAGAAGTTTTGCTTTCAGTGGTTTTGGCGAAACTGAGGAACGAGCCAAGGTGAGTAACAAGCAAGATGATAGAAGTACAGGCAAAGTTTTTGCTCTTACTAAAAAGCTCACGTTTAGATGATGGCTGCCGGCCGAGCTTATGACCATATGACAAAGTACCTTAAAGAAGAAAGCAAGGAATAGGATGCTGTATGTATTTTCTTTGTGATCACCTTTTGCCAGTTTCGATATAGGCGTTTTGAACGTTCTCTCATCCCTAACCTTTAAGTATTTTCGCTATTTAAGAAAGATTTCTGATTTCTAGTGAATCATTTTGCGCATTTTGTAAATTATTTTTTTCTGTCGTATACGGTACATTGAATAAATTCCCTTGTTTCACACTCGAAAAAGAAACCAAATTGTCCAGGTTTCAAGTGAAATTAATTGATTTATTTTCTATCGGTAAAAGAATACAGCAAATTATAGAGAAGTAGGTAATCAAGATATTTTAAAAACATATCAACAAACTTCACATAGAGAAATGCGCTATGAAACCAAGAATGAGATCACAAAGCGACAAACAGCGTCATTTTATCGTCTAGCGGGGTAGGCTAATTTCCGCAACTTTAACACTGTAGTAAGCATTCGAGTTTTTTATCATTACTTTCACTATTTCAGCTTTTTTTCTTAAAAGCCATTGTTAACATTGTTTTTAGAGATTCGAGAATCATCGTCTGATTAGGCTGCGCTGTTTAGCGACGCTTCTTCTCGTCCAAGATGCGAAAAAATCGACTTTCAACCATTTAAAACTTTCTCACCTTACAAAAGAATTCCTTGTACGAAAGAGTTGTTTTTATAAAATTTAATTTTTAAAACTATCTTTGATCAATAACAACAATTTTATTTTCAAAACAACAAGAATTTGGAGACAACAACAAATCAAAAAAATCCGCACACCCGAAACATTGAAACATTGAGAAGCTTGCGAGAGTTGAGCAAAAATTCAAACAACCAACAAAATTATGTGGTCAAGAAACGACAAAATACAACGCTGCAAAGAAATCTAGAAAACAACAAGTGGGCTAAATAAAGAATACTCAAACAAGTTGAGAAATAATATCCATTATTGTCCAAGCAAGACAGGACTTGGTGGCGAAAACATTTCACAAACCGCGGGCCTAAATAAAAAATGTTATTCGATCTTTCAATGAATATTAAATTTCCACTATCAGTTAAAATTTATTGTACACTTAATAACTCTACCCGGATAGCAGCTTCGACAGCATCAGCCTGCTCGTGCATCCCAAGTTGCCGATAGTAATCAACCCAAGCACGCGAGTAGTCGGGTTGTGACTGCTGAGATTGCTGCAGCATCTGCCGATGCTGGAATTGATCAGTCATCAATTGATTGCAGATTTGCTGTTGACATTGTATAGACATCATTGGCAACATCTAAAATTTAAAATTTAGCTGTTTAGAGAGAACAAGACTTTATCCTGATAGTAAACGCGGTATAACAAAAATATTTTAGGCTGCAATATAAAATTTTACTTGAGAAGAGGCATTTGCAACTCCAGCGTTTTGCAATTGGATCGGCATCTGGTACTGATTCCACTGTTGTTGATGATGCATACCTAAAATCAATAGGGAATAATAATTTACCAAATGCAGTAAAACGCTACAAAACGACACCTTGTTGTGGCCAATATTGAAGCTGCTGTTCACCATATGCTTGCATAGGTTGTTGTGGGGAATAAGCTGACGTTTCACGCATTGGTGGCATTGGAGATCCAGGTAGAACATCACCAACCTAGAATTAAAGATGAGGATTTTAAAAGAAACAAATACCTACCTTTACAAGGATCAAATGTTTAGCATGATGTACTTGCTGGGGCGTTCCAGTTATACGAAAAGTGCGCGTATCATGTTGTGCATCATCCACGAGGCGGCAAAATGCTCCTGATTCTGCATTGATCTAAAGAAAAGCTTTAGTCTGGAAAAGAACAATCACAACAAACTTGTTTGATCGTTTCTCCCCCTTTTCCAATTACAAATCCGGCTTTGTTGACGGGAATTTTCATGTAAAACGTCTCCTGTGGCTGACCATACCCTGCTCCTCGATAGCCTCCATCACTCGGTCCAACGTTTTCGGATCTTCCACCAAAGTTTGCGCTAGGCGCTTGAACAATGTCGGTGATGAGCTGAGTAGCCTAAAAGAATCTCTCTTTTAAATTTAATCTCTTTAATTATAAAAGCATACCTCCACAAGTGAATCCTTAGTTTTAGCCAAAATAACTGCAGTTCTCTCTTGTGCGGACATATCATCTGAGTCACAGCTTTACAAAACGTTCGTCACCAGACAACAAACCATCCTTTTTGAATTGAATCTGGCAATTTGTGCGACGCCCAATGTTCTTAATGACTTCGCCACCTCGGCCGATGATTCGTCCGACTGCGATACGAGGCACGATAATCTAAAGTAAACACGTTATTCTAATCTCATAGCAGCCTTGAAGTTCGCTTCCTAAGCAATGCGTGAAATTTGATTGACACGTTTAGAATTTAAAATCCCAATATTTTCGTTTACACAATCTGACTGCACATTTACTACTAAGCTGCTATTTATAAAACTTATTCGACCTCTCCTTGTATAGTTTCTCCACTAAATGATGTGCGAGTTTCGTTCATCGCCGAATTTGAGTGGGATGCGCTCGTGTAGACAGCTGCTACGCCTTCAATCGTTCTAGCCACCAATGCCTTTGCCTTCTCCACCTAAACAAACTTCTTTATAACCATCTTTAACTATTCTTTTCGCCTTAAAACCAACTCCAGAATCTCTTCATTAATAAATATCTCCTGATTCGTTACTTACCCACTGGCATATAAAACTTTGAACACGTACAAGTTCTACAACATTATATCCTCACCGCTTCTTTTGTTCCAGTAATCGTCAAGTGCTTTGATTCGCCCGTAACACAGGTAGTGGCTTGATTAATTCGCATTTCAGCCCCACTTTGACTCTAAATCAAAATGTGCAAAAGAGAATAAACAAAGCTAACCTTCAACGAGATAATCGTAGCGCCCTTTGGCCCAATGAGTAGTCCCACTTTAGTTGGAGGGATCATGATATGTTCGGTGACATGCTCCTCAGCATTCCCATGCGAGCGATTCATCAGCTAAAAATAATAATCAAAACGAGTATAATAACGTAAACAAGTACTAAGGCTTGCTTTGATAGACGCCAGCTTTTACAAAAGCTACCTCTTGAATACGTCGTTGAGCCAGTAAGACGTGCTCGGGGAGTCCAGAAATTGTGCACTGCTGTTCATTTGGCGAGTCGGCACAAACAGTCTTATCGATTTGAATCCGAGTATGTGTTGCACTTTGCAGTTGCGAGATTCTTTCTCCGTGAGCTCCAATAAGCATCGGCACGGCTTCACTTTGCACACGAAGAGTCGATGTGATTGGCGTATTGGCATCAGTGGCCACCTCTGCAGGAACCATCATGGGAACGGTAGTTGCACCAGCATCACTTCCACCCAGAGCCGTGCGCTTTAATGGAGCTAAAATGAAACTAGTAATTACATAATCTTTTTGACATGGTTAAATACAGAACTAATAACCCGTGATAAACTTTCCAAGAAGCTACCATAGAGATACGCAATATTTACTCAAATCCATTTTAATCAATTAAATCGAATCGAAATTTTAGTTTACTTTTGTTTGTGGTTTGAAAAATTATTTAATACCGCTACTATTAATCAAAAAAAGTGGGCACAAAAAGAATCGATCGACGGTTGTTGTTGGAGGTTGGGGGATTTTTTCGCCAAATGAGCTGATTTTTGCATCCCGGGATTTTTGGCTGTGATAGTTTCAGATAACATTTCGCAACTTTTAACAACACCCGAGATTACTTACAGATGAAAATAACGTCACTGGAAAAACCAGTTTCGAGCTATCAGGAAAGTTCTATCAAAGGCACAAGATGTTCTCGTTAGTAGCTTGTTGACATTTTGTTGTTGTGGTTGTTGTTATTTTTGTTGCTATTTGTTATAAACGTTGTTAAAAGTTGCAAATGCCATTTGAAACCACCACCAAGCGATTCAGCATAGTCAAAAACCCCTGGGTGCAAAAAATCAGCTCATTTGGCGAAACAAAATTTGCTTCCCCCTCAACTACTCTAGTCCCGAATCGACTATTGACTGGATTGATCACATGTAAAGCCAACCCAGAAACAGACGTACACTCATTTCCGTCGTCGGCAACCCTCTTAGCATTCGCTTGAGCGTTGGCAGCGATATCCCTCGCCTTCTCGATGGATTTCTCAAGAGCTGCGTCGTCAAGCGCCATCTTTCCGCTAATGAGCCGATCTAAAGTAAAAAAACTATGGTGAAATTAGATGACCGACACAACAAATGTTAAAAGATGAAAGTTAAAAACAAATGAAATCTATGAATTGAACTTTGCACCTTTCATGTGCCGCAAAATTTAAGCAGCCTTCACAAACACGGCAGATAATTGTCAAAAATATTGAGATTTTCAGCGCGGTCAACCAAATTCTAGAGCAACACTATGAGAAACGGTTAGCATTGATTAATTGATTCGCAATACTCGACCCAAACGCAAAAATTCAAGTCTTACTATGCCAAGAAACGATGATAAATCAGTAATAATGCGCTAAATATGGCTTTTTCATTTTATCCGACCAATTGAGAGACGCGTGAAGCAAAAAACAGGCGAGTAAATTGATTCGAAGACATTTCAGACGTTTTTTTAATACGATAGTCTGCGTCAAAAAGTTTAGTGCGCAATAGAAAGCGGCCGGAAAAGACGACGGTCAAGAGCAACTTTCAGCAAAGAATTTGATTCGACGCTAGCTACAACATTTCATTTTTAAAAGCTTGTTTGAATTTATTGCCTGCATTTTGCAACTTGTTCTTTCACTCATGCTTTGGACTCCCTTAATTGATCTCTTTGTAACAAGGAAAGAGCGGGGGAGAGTGGTTGTTTGAACTCGTTTCCGCTTCTCCCCACCTTGTGAATATTTGATCATCACCAAACAGCTTTCCCAAATCTCGCGGATCAGATTTCATTCACTAACCCACTCACAAGTGTTCCCTAACCGATAAATTGTACAACTTCCTTTTTTTTGAGGTCACTCTGATGTCTAAATGTAGCCGAACAGAGAGAAGACACCATGCCGACAGTCTCGTCACTGGCTCGGCGAGCTCGAGTCGCGATGTATATTCCGGAAGTGACAACATGTCAGTGTCACAAAGATGAACCCCCGCCGTGGACTGGGGAAATCCATGGGTTGAGTCAGGTGAGATATATGCAAAAGCATAAGATTCGTTTATCTTTGGGGAGTATTTTGTGTTTAGAGATGTCCTTTCCGGCATACACTAGACGTGGGAAAATTCCAAACCTAATTCCACCTTCGTTTTCTTGGCCGATTGCTCTGAAATTTTGCCTACAGATAGAAATCGACATTTTCAGCTTGTAGACAAAATTTCAGAGCAATCGGCCAAGAAACGGTCGAGAAAACAATAATGGAATTAGATTTGGCTTGGAATTTCTCCTAGTCTAGATTATGCTTGATTTTTCAACAATTGCTTCTTTAAGAGCAATGAAAGATTGAGTGCACCAGAAAGGGTGTGTTTATATATTTTTTTAAAGCAAGGCTCGTAGAACAACCCTAAAATAAAAAGATTTTTGCATCTTTGAGCACAAAATTCACCCCAAAGATAAAACCTTTTTGCTCGAAATTTTCCTATAGGGAAAACATCCAGTAGTCGTTAATTCAATAATTTAATTCAATAATTTAGGCTCTCATGTCAAAATCTCTCCCTTTACGAGCATTCTGGTGGTTGGTGCTCACTCTATGCGTTGTTTGTGGAGTCACAACAACAACACTTGTCATTATCGAATACATCAAAGGGCCCACATCAACGTCGACAACGATTCGATTGGTGCTTAAAGATAACTAGAAGAGAAATCCATTGAGTTTACGAAATGATTCCTACGAACAAAAACCTATAGTAGTACTTGCAATAAAACATCCGGGGCAGGTCTTACGGTTTAATTTAATTTAATCCCTCTTTTAGATTTAATCAATCTAAGACATTATAAAAATCTATAGAACACTTAACTTTTCAGGTCGATAGCCTCGAATTGCCCGGGATCACGATTTGCCCCAAAATCCCCGATATTTTCGATGAAGAGCCTCTATTCCGAGATCTCTCCTCAGCACTCCCAAATGTCTCATACAGAGTTCAACTTGATGTTTTTCGGTGAGTAACTTTATCGATAAATCCTTCAGACAAATCCCTTTTCAGTTATTTCATTGCTGGAAACGGGTTAGAGAATATGGATGATGTAGCCAAATATAACCAATCATATCTCCAACAATTGGACGCATATTATCGAATTTGGTCACGCGGGTACACCACACAGGACTTCTTTTTTCTCATTCATGTGGGTTCTACTTGAAGATGAATTTGCAATTGGAGCTTTCAGGACAAGTACGGGTATAGTTGTGAACAATTTTTCTTCTCTTGCAATTTCGCTGGCAAAGCTTTGAACTGTTGCACTGAAGTCTTTGATAAAAAGGTATCGTTAAAGTTGTAATTTTTACAATTTCAATAATTTCAGATTGTGATTAGACGGGGTGTTTGCTGGCAAACGAAACCAGGATTAAATCAGGTAAATAAATTTATCCTACGAAGTGCAAGAATGGCTCAAAAGCTCTAATATTCTTGCTAGAAGATTGAGATTGAGCTGACAGTTTGTTTGATTTGATTTGATTGATCAATGAGCAATGATTTGATTTGATTGATTAATGATCAATGATTTGATTTGATTGATCAATGAGCAATGATTTGATTTGATTGATCAATGATCAATGATTTTATTTGATTTAATTGATCAATGAGCAATGATTTGATTTGATTCATCAATGATTGAGCAACGATGAGCTTTGATTCATTAAACTTCATCGAGCAAGCTGCAAAAGAATTAAATCTCTTCTTTACATTACTTTTCCAGCAACATTTCATTATCATCTTGATTTAAACTTTCAGAGTGAAGCCGACGATGTGGGACGATTAATTTTAAGCATGAGAGCGCTACGATCAATGACTTCACCCGAATATAACTATACACAGGTACAAACAAAAGTAAGACTTTTGAGTAGAATCCTGAACTTTTCTTCTTCGACTCTCTTCGAAGAATCTTCGACTTTTGGCTTTTATTTTGTAATTTTTGATTTACCAGCAACAATTTATCTCAATAAAGAAAATCACAAGATAGAAAAACTTTCAAATGCCATTTAGAGAGTGTGTAAGCCAGAAAAAATACGTTAAACAGTAGGATAAGCTAGGCTAATCTCATACAAAAGACTTTTTTAGATGATTAGCTTTTTTAGTTGATTAGCTACTCGGCAAAATGGTTAGCTTTAAGACACGGTCTGCATGAAGAGCAACCAAAAACAAATTTAAATTAATGTAAAACAAAAGTGAAACACCAGTGAATCCGATTTTTATTTGAAGAAAGATGAAAATGGGTGCAGTTTGTTTTTAAGCAGCCCATATCAGCAAAATAAACGATTACTGTTTAGTTACTAAGTGCAGCAGGGCTTAAATGCTGGCTGGCCGTTTTACCAACAATTAGGTATGACAGAAAATTTAAAAGAATCAAAGTTAGAGATCATTTCATCTCTTTGCTACGCCTGCAGATTTAGCGTTCGAAAGAACACCTTTAGCATTGGTTTATTCAATTGTTTTGTTAGTTGGAGTTATGTCGGCAGGCGTAGCAAAGAGATGAAATGAAATGCAAAGAATGAAATGCAAAGAATGCAATGAATGCAGAATGCAATGAATGCAGAATGCAATGAAATGCAAGAATAAAAGCAAATGAAATGATTTTGTGGTATTTAAATGCATGTTTTCAAAATTTTCAAGCTAAAAACAGGACTAATAAAAATCAAAATAAAAGCCGCCAAAAGTTCAGGCTTCTATTCAATAGCCAAAAGTAATCTTTCACTTAAAATACCAATTTTAGCCTCAACTACTCGTTTATATCACTGATAATCACGATTATGTTGTCGATTACCCCCGCTATTATCTCTATCCACAGCAGTGGAGTCGGATGCGTTTCACTGCCAGGTTTAAACGAGAAATTCACAATTTTATATCAATCTTTTTTTGCTTTAGATTCATGGAGCTGATTCAGAGCAAAGATGTCTGCATAAACAAGGTTCAATTGGTTTGGTTCGCTGAGTATTTTGAATTAAGTTTTTCTTCGTTTAAGCTCTTCGGGAAAGATGCGGAATGCGTGATTAGGCGATGGTTGGAAGCGAATATCATCATTCCATTCAATTGTACCCTTTCATATTTGAAAGGAGTCAGCAAATTGCCGAAAGATTTACAGGTACATTACATTACAATGAAATTACAATGAAGTTGAAATGAAGTTTTACAATGAAATTACGAAATGATTAAAGTTCAATTGGTTTTGAGAGTAATCCAAGTGATTCTTTGGGCATAAACCGAGTGATTCTTGAAAGGGAAACTTTAGATTAATAAAAGGAAGTAATAAAAGTGTACTAATAGACCAAGTGTATTAATAAAAAGAACTAATAAAAATGTACTAATAGATCAAGTGCACTAATAGACCAAGTGTATTAATAAAAAGAACCAAAAAGTGTCAACTTCTGCAAACTACCGTATTCTTCTTGAATTCTTCTAAAGATCCAAAGATTATAGTAGCTTTTGAAAGTTGTTAGACTTCAGAAAATGTTAAGATGAACACAGTCTACCTATTAGGGTGGTGCAAAAGAAACTGCCGATTTGACGGTAAATTAAAAAAAAGATGGCGTTCGATGGTGACATGATCACAATGGAATATTTTCGCAAGATCTCAAGCAGATTGGCATGGATCGGCCTGTATAACGGCCAGATCGGCCAGATCGACCTCAGCTTGGCTTCGTTCACGACTTCTGGCCTCGAACCGTGCTCGTAATCTTCCAAAGTCTCGTCTCCCTCTCGGAATCGTTGAAACCAAGTCTGACACTGCCTGAGAGACAAACTGCCATCTCCGAAAGCAGCACAGAGAGAACGATGCGATTCGGCAGCAGACTTGGTTCCTTTTCTCTACAAATTTGGTCCTCTTTTCTCTTTTGGTTCCTTGCGAGACAACGATGCGATTCGGCAGCAGACTTTCCAATTTTGAAGTTAAACAGTAATGCTGCTCGTAGCACAAACTTTTGCTCGACCATGATCTAAATAAAAAATATAAGCATTTTAAAATAAAATAAACAACAACCAAAAAATTCAAATATCGAAATAAATAGTAAACAAATATGCGAACAAAACATAAAAAAAATAATGCCGTTAGCATCGCTCGTTTCTGATAAATGAGAGCTGTTACCCATCGGCAGTTTCTTTTGCACCACCCTAATAGAATGATAATAGAATGATAATAGAATGATAATAGAACAGTTACAGTAACCTATAGTAAACATTTTTAGGTTTGCGATCCGTCATTGATTGTAGCCAACTATATCAACAATATTCAACTCGTTTGGACCAATGGATCAGTGACTGAAGAGGTAAAACAGAGTCGATCTGCTGGTAAACTTTGATAACCCTAGTACTGGCTTTCACAATTATCTGAGCTTTAATCGAATTAGGCATCATTTGGCATGGATTCCATCTAAATTTTTCCATTCCATCCATTCCATTTTCCATTCCATTCCATCTAAACGACGAAATTCAGTGTATTCCCGGTTGTAAACGATGGGATTACACAGTCTCACTCCAACAAAATCCAAACATTGATGCATTTGATGGATACGCTTTCAACCTTGAAACCTCCTACAACGATTTACAAGTACAAAGAGAGTTTTTATCTGAAAAGTTTGAAACAGTCTGTTCAGTATGAATATGTAAAAGAGTCGTACACCACATCTGTGCCTGGGTTCATGTCACAAATTGGAGGTTGGACCTAAGAATTGAATCAAATTCTTCGAGTTTAGGTCAATTCGGTTTCTTCTTGGGTCTCTCGATAATCACATTCCTTCAAATGACGATTTATTTCATTCGTTGGGTGGCGGTGAATATCGCGAAAAGAATGCATCGACTTTACAGGACATTCTCGTCGGCGGATAGCTCGGAAAAGCCGAATTTAGGTGAGGATGGGAAGTCGCAAGGAAGACAACTGTTATACCAGTAACAATGCCTGTTATCGATATCAGAACAATCAGATTGACTGAGTCTAACTGAGTCTAACTGAGTCTGTATAGAAAAATCAGACTGACTCTGTATAGTAAGGCATAGGTTCTACCCTATCAGAATAAGCCACTACCCTGACGGCATAAGGTCCTACCCTAGCAGCATAGGGCCCTACCCTGACGGCATAAGGCCCTACCCTAGCAGCATAAGGCCCTACCCTAGCAGCATAAGCCCCTACCCTGACGGCATAAGGTCCTACCCTGACGGCATAAGGTCCTACCCTGACGGCATAAGGCCCTACCCTGATGGCATTAGGCCCTACCCTGATGGCATTAGGCCCTACCCTGACGGCATAAGGCCCTACCCTAGCAGCATAAGACCCTACCCTGACGGCATAAGGCCCTACCCTAGCAGCCTAGGCCCTACCCTGACGGCATTAGGCCCTACCCTGACGGCATTAGGCCCTACCCTAGCAGCATAAGCCCCTACCCTGACGGGATAAGGCCCTACCCTAAGATATTTGTCGTTGTAGCTCATTGGTAGTGTTCGCCCGGTAAGCGAGAGATCACTGGTTCGAATCTCGGCGCCGATCATGTTTTGTATTCCCCAGCCCAAACCCATAAAAGAATTGTTCAATTGTATTGGGAATGATATTTTGTACTGGATTGAGTTATCTAATGGATAGATAAAAGAGAATAATGAAAGCTTTCATGTTAAGTAAATACTTCTTCGTGAGCATTACTATGCCAAAAGGCTTATCGTCCATTACTGTTACTGTACCATTACTGTTACTGTACCAATGACAGCACAGTAAAACCCGTTTTTTTTGACATCTTGCGCGCACTATTAACTCAAAACAAAGCTTATCTGCAAATTTAGATAGCATGGTATTGCAAAGTCTTCGCCCAAACGGCCATCTCATTCATCCAGCCGAAGAAATTCGTCCTGATCGTTTAACAATCAGCACAAGACCAAGAATCAAGATAAAAAGAAAATTGAAAGAAAATGATCCAACAAAACTCTCAACGATTGACACTGGAGCGATTAGAAGTGATAGTTGGGAACTTCGGAATGGAATTGAAAGAAGAGACTCAACTATACCATGATATTTTTATATTTTTCGTTTTGCTCATTCAACGGGTTATTTGTTTGATGAAATAAATGTATGGAAACAGTCATTTTCAACAATTTTCTTTTGACTTTTGACTATACGCGTCAATTTGTGCTTTATTTTCAGCTTTTCGTTGGATTCTTCGTTGGATTCTTCTTGGTTTTTCGTCCCCTGAGACAAAGGGGTTTAGATTGATTACCATAGAAGATAGATACTGAATAAAGGAAATAAAGAACTGACAATGAATCTTAGGCAACGATTGTTAGAAACCAGAATGCTTAACCAATGCCGGAATGCATTGGTTAAGGAACTTTAAAAGCTTACGCTTGAGCTGCTTAAGCCTGAGCCTACGAAGTCAGAGCAGGGAATGGCTGATGTGAAGATGAACCAGGCCAGGATCAGGCTAGAGACAAGCTAGCATAACTTGGATCTAATCTGATCGATTTTAGAGCATTTCTGTTCAACTGTGCACCAATTCTTTCAAATGAATCTGGGTTCTTCAAAGAAATTCGGGCTTTTTATTGTGAAAAGCTATCATATGCAAAACCCAAAGTCAATTCAATTCTTTCAATTCGATTCTTTAGCCTTTTCTTGAGACAAAGGGTTAAAATAGACTCCGCCAATCGATTCTACGATCCTCAAAGCATAAATTTTTAACATTAAATCTCATTTGGGAATCATTTACAGAACAAAAAAATCACTGTGAAGTGAATGACAAGGTGTTCTTTGTGCTCGCGCGTAATCGCTCACAATCTGGCAAATCCCTTTGGCATAAGGGACTTCTCTCTCCGACTCGGTAATCTGTGCCTCAAAAACGTTTAATTTAATTCCAATTGTTGCTATGCTCAAAATTTTGTTTTGAGTTAGGATCGGTCCTAATTCGGACCTAAAGCTGGTGATCGACTGAACCAGTCTCGCCATTTGGCGTCGCTTTTTCCATAAATTTTGTTATATTTTCGCTACAAATCCTGCATTCTGTTAAGCCAAGGAAGAAGCCAGGATTTCGCGACTTTCAGTCTAGCGACCGTTGTTAAAAATTCGTGCCCAGGCTTTTTGAAGGCCGTAGAATCTATTGGCGGAGTTTACTTTAACCATTTGGCTCAAGAAAGTCTTAAGCAGATTGAATTGGCTTTGAATTGAATTGGTTTTGTATATAATAGCTTTTCACAGTGAAAAAACCCGTATTTTTTCCAAAGACTCGGATTTTTTGATGGACTGAAATCAGTGTTCTTTTAAAAGAAACAAAAATCGTTGTATTTCAATGGTTGTATTTCAATCGTTGTATTTCAATCTTTGTATTTCAATCTTTGTATTTCAATCGTTGTATTTCAATCGTTGTATTTCAATCGTTGTATTTCAATCGTTGTATTTCAATCTTTGTATTTCAATCGTTGTATTTCAATCGTTGTATTTCAATCTTTGTATTTCAATCGTTGTATTTCGATCTTTGTATTTCAATGGTTGTATTTCAATCGTTGTATTTCAATCTTTGTATTTCAATCGTTGTATTTCAATCGTTGTATTTCAATCGTTGTATTTCAATCTTTGTATTTCAATCTTTGTATTTCAATCTTTGTATTTCAATCGTTGTATTTCAATCTTTGTATTTCAAACTCCGTATTGCTACACCGCTCAACTTCAAATCGACTTCAAACACACAGCACATACACAAGATTTTGTCCGTTGTTGTCCGTTGTTGGCCGATGAAATATTGTTTGACAAGGAGGGCTTGGCATATCTCGTTGAAGAGGATGAGGGCTGACTCGTCGTGATGCGATCCTTTCCTCTCCCCCCACTCCCCTCTCCAGCATTCGATCCCTGGGGACGATTTTTCCCCCCTCCAAACACATCTCTTCAACAAGCTTAGCCTATATTATTCTAACGTTGGCAATCAAAAGTAAAATGGTAAAATAGATTAATCCTAATTGCTTTGAAGTTCCTTGAAGTGAAGTTAAAGTTTGAGAAGTTTTTTATTCTTAATTTATTAAGCCTTAATTTATTAATTTGCATTTATTAATCTTATCACAAAGTCTTTTCGTTCTTTCGTTGAAAAAATAACAAGCTCATCAATTAACTCCTAATTTTCTCTAAAGAAAAAGGGTTTATTGTTGAATTTTCAATCTTTTTAAGTCAATTTCGATTTAATTCTCATCTTTTTAAAAGTCAATTTCGGTTCACTTTCAGCGCAAATTCGAGAGTGAAGACGTGTTTTTAATCTATAAAAGAAACCTCGACGAAGAAATTGGTTGAATGAATTTCTTTGAAAATTTTCCCTACATGCCCAACTTTTTATGCTCTATCTTTTATCTATTGACACCAAAATCGGTTTCCTTGAGCTAAAGTGTCTAATCATCGCATCATCGAGTTGTCTGTTCGTCTGTTTGTCTGTTCGTCTGTTTGTTTGTTCGTTTGTTCGTCTGTTTGTCTGTTTGTCTGTTTGTCTGTTTGTCTTTTCGTTTGTTCATTTGTTCGTTTGTTCGTTTGTTCGTTTGTTCGTTTGTTCGTCTGTTCGTTTGTTCGTCTGCTTGTCTGTTCATCTGTTCGTTTGTTCGTTTGTTCGTTTGTTCGTTTGCTCGTTTGCTCGTCTGCTCGTCTGCTTGTCTGTTCGTTTGTTCGTTTGTTCGTTTGTTCGTCTGTTCGTCTGTTCGTTTGTTCGTCTGTTCGTCTGCTTGTCTGTTCGTCTGTTCGTCTGTTCGTCTATTCGTCTGTTCGTCTATTCGTTTGTTCCTCTATTCGTCTGTTCGTCTATTCGTCTGTTCCTCTATTCGTCTGTTCGTCTATTCGTCTCTTCTTCTGTTTGCTTTCACGCTTCCAAAAAAGATCCAGACATAAGACATTTGAAATCCGTTTTAATGTTATTTTGCAGAAAAACAATTGAGCTTTCTAATGAAACAAACCGTAGTTCAACTAGTGTTTTGTGTTAAACAGTGTCAAACAGTTAAACATTAAACTACTGTTAAACAGAAGTACAAAAAGGAAAGAAAAGACTAAAAACTAAAAATGACGAAGGAAAACAATTGCAGAAAGTTTCTAAATCTGATGTAATTGACAGGTAGCCATGTTTTTTTATCAACTATTTTCAGATTTTCAGATATTTCGGAGATGAAAAGGTAGAAAATCTTACTCTTGCATTTTAGAGGTTAGAGAATTTCTGAAAGAAAGCTACAGCTACAGCTACAGCTACAGCTACAGCTACAGCTACAGCTACAGCTACAGCTACAGCTACAGCTACAGCTACAGCTAAGAAAGCTACGCGATATCTAGACAGTCATTAAACCAAAATGTTATATCTAAACTTGTTTCTACCAAAAGACAAATATTTTCCCGTTTTCACGCTTACAAATACGGCGTTCCGTCTTCGTTGCTTCGAGGGATTAGTGCTGGAAATGAGGAACAAAAAGAAAAAGTTCGTCTTCAGCAAAATGAAAGAAGAAAATGAAAGAAGAAAACGAAAGAAGAAAATGTTTGACGTGAAGCTGGGAAAAGTTGTGTTTTTCTATCAGGATCATGGTAAAAAGAAAAGCATAAAAAGATAATAGAAGTTAGAGAGACATGGTGCTGATTTAGGTCACTCTTTCACTTTGCTTTGCCCACAAACATCACCTTTCCTCAGCCTTCGTCAACCTAACTGATCGCATGATCAGTGAAATCAGTTTTACAACGTTTGTCCTTGTTAGTTTGTTCTTGTTATTTAGTCCTTGTTAGGTAGTCCTTGGTAGTTAGTCCTGTTAGGTAGTCCTTGTTAGTTAGTCCTTGTTAGGTAGTCCTTGGTAGTTAGTCCTGTTAGGTAGTCCTTGGTAGTTAGTCCTTGTTAGGTAGTCCTTGGTAGTTAGTCCTGTTAGGTAGTCCTTGTTAGGTAGTCCTTGTTAGGTAGTCCTTGTTAGGTAGTCCTTGGTAGTTAGTCCTGTTAGGTAGTCCTTGGTAGTTAGTCCTGTTAGGTAGTCCTTGGTAGTTAGTCCTGTTAGGTAGTCCTTGGTAGTTAGTCCTGTTAGGTAGTCCTTGGTAGTTAGTCCTGTTAGGTAGTCCTTGTTAGTTAGTCCTGCTTGTTCAAGTTCGTTCTTAAAAAAACCCATTTTAAACATCAGTTTCAAGAGAATCTTACAATTAGATTTCAGTAGACATTGCTTGAGCCAAGTAGCCAGACCTAATCAATCCAATCAATCTAATCAATCTAATCAATCTAATCAATATGACTTTGTCTTTGTCAAGATTCCAGTCAAGATTCCTGTCAAGATTCCAGTCAAGATTCCAGTCAAGATTCCAGTCAAGATTCCTGTCAAGATCTCTCTTTCATGAACTCTCAAAACTTGCCCAATCTTTCTCTCCACTTCATTGCTTATTTACAAATATTTCTACTATGTAAAGCTGTGAAAAAAGCTAGAAAATTCCATGCATTTTCAGTTTCAACGAGAGTTCAACTTGTCACTGAAAGAAATCGGTGAAAGAAAGAAGAGAGGAAGGCAAAGACGAGGCAAATGGGCGCAAGTGGCGAAATGCCCGCATTTGCTCGCATCTGCAATGTGTGATCTCTTCTCCAGGCAAATCCCTTTGCTAAACTTTTCATTGCTATATTTCATTGCTCCATATTGCTTCATATTGCTTGATCCATTTTCCCTTTCATCCAAATAACTTCGCCATTCATTCGGAAAGATTTCTTAGCCTTTTTCTTAGCCTTTTCATTGTTTTCGAGTCGATCAACCATGCACAAATTAGAACTTTGAAGTTTTTAAGGCCTTTGCTTTGAGTCTTTTTTGCCTTGAATCTTTTTTGCTTTGAAGATTTGGCATAGTTTTTTAACATCAAGTTTTAGATTCAGTTTCTTAAGAATTCCTTCAGAATCTTTTATTTTATCTTCTAGTTTAGTCAATTTTTACCGTCAGTTGAAGACGACGCTTTTCTAAAAGCTCAGAAAGCTCAGAAAGCTCAGGAAGCTACAGTACTTCGTGCGAGAGTCCGAATCAACAGCTAATTTGTCTGATTTACATTAGACTA